GGTCTCACAGGAATTGGTCCTGGGTCCAGTGCTGTTCAATATCTTCATAAATGATTTAGATAATGGCATAAAGAATACACAAAGTTTGTGGACGATAACAAGCTGCAAGTGCTGTAGGATAGGGTTAAAATTTAAAATGATCTGGACAAATTGGAGAAATGGCCTGAAATAAATAGGATGAAATTCAATAAGGAGAAATGCAAAGCACTCCACTTAGGAAGGATCAATTGCACTCATACAAAATAGGAAATGACTGCCTAGGAAGGAGTACTGCAGAAAGGGATCTGGGGATTATACTTGATCACAAACTAAATAAGAGTCAACAGTGTAACATTGTTGCAAAAAAAAAAAAAGCAAACATCATTCTGGGATGTATCAGCAGGAGTGTTGTAAGAAACGCACGTGAAGTAATTCTTTCACTCAACTCCACACTGGTAATGCTTTAAATGGAGTATTTGTCCAGTTCTGGGCACCACGTTTCAGGAAAGATGTGGATAAATTGGAGAAAGTCCAGAGGAGAGCAACGAAAATGATTAAAGGTCATGAAAACATGACCTATGAGAAAAGATTGGGTTTGTTTAGTCTGGAGAAAAGACGACTGAGGGTGGACATGATCATAATTTTCAATTACATAAAAGGTTGTTACGAGGAGGAGGGTGAAAATAGTTCTCCTTAATCTCTGAGGATAGGACAAGAAGCAATGGGTTTAAATTGCAGCAAGGGCAGTTTAGGTTGGATTTTAGAAAAACCTCCTAACTAACCTCCTAGTTAAACACTGGAACAAATTGCTTAGGGAGGCTGTAGAATTTCCATCTTTTGAGGTTTTTAAAACAGGTTAGACAAACAGCTGTCAGGAATGGTCTAGTTATTATTTAGTCCTGCTTTGAGTGCCTGGGACTGAACTAGGCAACCTAATGAAGTTCCTTCCAGTTCTACACTTCTATAATTCTATGTAAGCAGGTGTACATATAATGGCCACTCTCTTGCCCGACAAACTGGGAACTGAATTCGGGACCTCTACAGCTAAAAGCACAAACTGCTCAGCTTAAGTTGGAGAGCCATATAGCTGAGAGGTGTAGCAATTTATATCCTCTGTAGATTAGAACACAGAGGCCCTGTAACACACTTACCAGTGGGTACACCTGAAAAAGAATGGACACACATAGGTGTGCATAGATAGCAAGGGTGAAAGAGTGAAAGTTAGACTGGTTTGAGTTTTAAAATATAGGTTATTTGTTTCACTCACTACTGTGATTTATCTAGTTTAAGGCTTACATCAGCATTTCCTTCATCGCTCCAAACCATCCTCTCCCTTGCACACTTTCAAAAAATGATGATTTAAGGTTTTGTTTCACAAGCACATTTATACTTCTTGCTTGCAAATACTGACATTTTGTAGAAGGGCAGTGCAGTATTCTCCCCAAGCTGGTTCTTCATACTGTGTCTAATGGATTAATTAATGCTTGATTAGAAAGAGTGAATCCAGTAACAGATGGAAAGCTTAGGAACTTTAAGAACTTACTCATATGAGCCTTCCAAGGAGGGGGAAGATATTTTTCTATTGTTTTTAATAAGGTAATTCTAGGCAGGAATAGTGTTTTATATATAATTTAAAAAAATTCTGCCATTCTTTCATTTTTATTGGTAGGAATTTTGAATTCATTCTAGACATATTTTGAGGACATTTAAACAAGAGAACTTAAAGAGTTTAAAGCTTTGTATAGATGCTTACTCATAGATTCATTGCCAAAAGAAATCAGGAATTCATCTAGTCTGATCCCCTGTATAACGCAGGCCATAAAATTACACTGTTACTCCAGCTTTTAGCTTTTGCAACAGGTTTATTTTATTTTATAATTTGCATTATGAACCTGGTGTCTATTTTTATATATTTATACACACACACACACACACACAACTTTAAAAAAAATCCCACAGCATATCAACCAACAAATCATTAAACTCTGACTCTTTTGCACTAAGTAGGGTTTCCCTGTCTGATATACAAGATCCCAGGACATATGAGTGATCCTCAGCCCACAAAACTGGACTGCTGGCAGTCTGTACTGAGAACCCTTACAGATTTCCCAGGGCTGCTATTATCAAAATGTGATGATCTTGGGAAAACCTGGACAGGTGGCAACCCTAAAGCCAAGGGGCAAGCAAACTTCTAAGGCAAGACCTCTCCACTGATTACATGGTATTCCCAACCCCATGACCTTTACAAAGTTGGGCAATGTTAATTTAAGTATCCCACTTGATCTCAATTCTTAGAGCAAGGTAGCAAAAAAGGGGGATAGTGTAGGGCCTTGTCTGCACAGGAAAATTTTAGCAGTCATACTAATATAATTATCCCGGTGTAGTTGAACCAATATAGTTATACCAGTATAACTCCTTGTGTGGATGCTTTTATTCTGGAATAAAAGAGGCCTCTATATGGTTTAACACTTCCCAAAAGATATGAAATACACCAAGGAAAAAGATACTCTTATTCTGAAATAGGAGTGTCCACATGGAATTATTCTGGTATAAATATATCAGTTTAAACTTGCACCTTTTCTTACTGTGGTATAAATTTTCACGTTCAGAGAAGTGCTAAGACACCCAGGACCCAAACAAGGAAGGATTTAATAGATTAAAAACAACTCCTTGAATTTGAGCTGCAGAGCGCTGGAAGGTGGTGCTGTTCTTGCAGTGATAGGTTGTTCCCTACACAGATCTCTGTTGCATATGTACTCCAGCATCAGAACATTTAGATTTTGGTTTGGAGTCTGTGTTTTCAAACAGCTCCTCTAGATAGAGGGTTTTGATTTGAGCCAGAAACATTTGTATGGTTTTATTTTTTCTAAAATCAGTGTTCTGTTTCTGAAACTCCAGGCAGGATCATTACTGGGGTTTCAGAAGATCCTAGATTAACAGCACACTTGAGTTTTTAATACGTTTTCTTAACACATAACGAGCTAAAGAGACAGATCTTGTGCATTTAGTTGACCCTGTGCCATCAAGCAGAAACAAATAAATGCTGCTTTTAATATAACAATAGGAGCTATTTGGTGTGGAGGACAGTTTGAATGGTACAATTAATTTCTAATCCATGTCAAAAAAAGTAATTGAATACAAAATGTACTTAGGTCCCAGAACCACAGTGCAGTTATGTATCTGGATAGCGAAAAAGAACTTTTTAAAATAAACTTCTTTAAAAATGTGCTTGATCAGTCTCCCTCAAACTCTTATTGCCATCATGTTAGAGCTTTAATGTGTTTTGCCAGGTAGGCAACCTCTGGCCCCTGATAATCTTATATTCTCCACTTCAAGCACTGCACCAAGCATTCTCTGGCCCTACATCGAGCAGAGGAATGGATGGGCACAGCTTATAACACTGTCGTCCTCCTCTAGGCAGACTTCTCAACCTCAGTCTATATTCCACCAGCTTGTGTCAGAAGAACTCAAAGATTGAAGTTAAAGGGCCAAATGCATCAGAGATAAAATGCATGGCAGAAACAGATTACCATTGGTCAACCTTTTGTTCCTCTGACTTTCTGCAATCCCCCAACATCCATACAAGTCAATGATCATTGGAAGCCATCAGCATCTTGCAGGATTGGGCTTGTCTTCTGGACACTTTTGAAAGTCAGGAGAGCACTCTCAGGGGAAGATACCATCTGTCTCTCCCTCTCTTTGGCTGAATGAGCTAAGGATTGTAAGCTTGTAAATACAGAGCTGCACAAGTTTGTAAAGGTGGTGGGGAGACCCCGGTAAATAAATTGCACAAGGTGTTTGACCAGGAGGTCTCAGAGCAGTTTGTGTCTAGAAAAGAGAAAGGAATGGGATGATGCCCTGTCACAGAGGTTAAAAAAATCTTCGGTCCATCCAGCCTATCATTGACTCTAGAGGAAATTGTGTGCATACGGTTTACAGGATAGTTTGGACCCTTTATTTTTCATGTTAGAAGTAAAGTTTGTTGGGGGGCGGGGGAAGGGTTAGGTTTTATGGAGGACTTGACAAGAAAAAATATATAAGACTTGAACAAGTTAATATAAATCACCAGTTGCATCTTGAATGCATGTTGTGTCATACTGCTTCATTCAGGACCTACACTAATTTTTAAACATTGGCATCAGGACCTTAAGTAAATCTTTAGTTGTAGGTATAGCTGAAGATGATCCATGACTAGGTAAAGCCCATTTAATTGGCTGACAATCAACATATCAGTTTTGAGCCACTGGCATTGTCAATGGTGCACAAGGATGAAGCAGTTAATTGAGAGTGGTGGCATCTCTCTTACATGGGCAATATTTTTAAAGCATTTTTAAGGTATACTCTTAATTTTAAAATTTGCATTTGGTGGTGTAAATTAATCTTAACCCCTAAAACAGGCTCCTTCTTTGCCTATGCTATAAGCCCAATCAACTCTTCTCTAAAAAAGGGGAAAACAGATTAGAGAAACACTTTCAAATTAGAACTGGTCAAATATTCTCATTTTCAAAATTTTATCCCTTTTTTGTACTACTTCTGTTTTTTTAACCAATTTAAGGGTTAGAAAAATTTAAATTCTATGTTTGTTTGTTTATTTAGTTGAAAAAAATTCAGCATTTTCCAACCAGCTCAATTTAAAATAGAATCTATTGCTAGGAGATTTCAAATCAACAGATTGATTATCTAAGCAGTTTGTTTACTGGGCATATGGATAAGACTTCAGAGCCCAAGCTTTTTCCGTTCTTCCACTGATGTGTGAACATTACTGGAGTGAATGGTAACTGAAAAGTAATGCTGCAGGTTCTATGGATAAGAGCAAAAGACGATAAGCTCATCAGTGTAGGAGACATAACTTTCTTGAGGCCAGTCCAAGGCTGTGGAATGAGGCCCCCCCCCAAGAACCAAGAATCACCACAAACCTCCTCACCTTCCTCTCCAACTGAAAGCTGTTCTTTAACTTTGCATTCTGTATTATTAATAAATAGCAACAGAAATATTTGAAAAACAAACAAAACAGAAAATCCTTACCAAAATTCTCCACTGTATATACTTTTCCTCCTGGGGAAGAGGATAAGAAAAACAATATGTGACAGCTGTTAGTCATGTTGCTTACCGAACTTCTGGAAGGTACTCACAGAATGGTGAGGAGCACAATATAATATTTTGAATACAACAGATCTGGAAGTGAGGATTTCTGGTTCACGTTCCTAGTTGGCCACTCAATCATCATGTGATCTTGGGAAAATGACAATGTGTCTGTGCCTCAACGTACTCACCTAATATGTAGGTATAATACTTACTTTCCTCAAAGGGGTATTGGGAAGCTAGTTAGTTAATATTTGCAAATAGAAACGTAAGCATGTGCTTAAGCATTTGCTGGATAAGCACCTAAAACAGTCTGGCTTCCATACCACCAAACTCTGACAATCACCTGTGTACTTGGTTAACAGAATAGTAAAATACTTTTTAAAAATATTCAAGCCTTTATGTGCCAGTAAACATCAGTGATAAATCCTACCAAAAGATAGTCTAATAAATAAATAAATAAATAAATAAATAATCAAGTAAGCCACAGTCATTCAGTGTGTTTTAAATAAAAGTGATGTAGATACAAAAAGAATCTCTAGCGAATTAAAATATGTAAACAATCACATTAAAAAGGTAAATGAATCAGGGATAAATATGCCCATGATTGATTTTAAAAAAAGGTATTTAATTAGTTATTAAAAATGGAGACAACTTTGATATTTAGTATTAATGCATCAAGAAAGCTAAAATAGTATTTAAAGCGTCCATGAACAAAGTCATACATTTATCAGGCTTTAAGATTGCAGGCTTGAAAATGGAACCAACTTACCTAAAGGTATTGTAGGTCCTATCTGAAGCTTTATTTATACTAGCTCATTGTCCCTGAGGCCTCTCAGTTTTTCTAGCACAAATGATATGGAAAAGACCTCCTGAAAAAGAACAGATAAAGGTTGCAGAATTCACTATGCACATGTATCATAGCTATCTCATATTGCAGATTAGATGAATTGACTAGAAGATATTCTGCTATGTTTCTGCATAATTCTCTCTTTTACCAGGAACAAACAGAAGTGAGAAGGGCAGAAAAACACCTAGCAGATTCCTATAAAATGGCCAATCACACCTTGTTAATACAATGTAAAATATTTGTTCTTTTAGTATGAAGTGACAGTATTTTAATGATCTTGAAATTCGCTGCAGCCATCCTATGCTTCCCATAATAAGATGCTGAAAACAAGTGTCCAGGTGCTCACTGTCCCTTGGAAAACTGAATGTAAAACAGTTTGCAGTTGTACTTCCCCTAAATGAAACACAGAGAAAGCAAAAGAGTGCAAATATAACCTCATTAAATAAGACAGCATGTCTAAATGGCATACAAGACTATTAAACAAACTAGATTGGTCCATAATAATAAGAAACATATTTCACATCTGTTGCACAGTGCAGGGCTTTTAACAAGAAATAGGCATACCATGCTGGAAAATAGTTGCTACTCTCCATCAGTATATCATTGTCAATGGCTGTGCTGTCTCAAACGAAGCACTTATCTCATACACTTTATTGCTTGATAGCTTGCTGATTGCTTTTACAAAGCAATAAATTGATGGCCTGATTCAGCAGTGACATAGGTTATGTTCATTTTCTGTGACTGATGCTTTGAATTAGAACTCTTATATTCTCTTCTATTTAGGAATATGAAATTCCAAACAGGCAACTCTGATGTCACAAATAAAATGACACAACTGATGCCAGATGAGTTAGATTTATACATTTAAATATCTTTCTTGCTCCTCTTTAATAAAGTTTTCATAATTTATTGTTTAATGGGTTTTTTCTTTCTGTTAAAAGGATCTAGCCAAATAAGGAGAGTTAAAAAAAGTAAAAGCTGAAAGTAGTAATTTAGCTCCTCATATTGGTGTAGTAGTAGAAATGCATGTAAAGATGTACAAGAACTTATTAATTATTAAACTCTCAATTATATAAATTGAATAATTTAGCTACTTTTCTTCAAAGTTTAAGGTAAAAAGGAATTTTTTGGTGTTTAAAAATCCCATTAATCATCCATAGTAATAGTTTCATTATATATTGAAGTGATACTTGAAGAAGCTAGATAAAACATGACAGAATGATGAGTGCTAACTCTGCTTCATATAATTTCTTCGCTTTAAGAAAATTAAATAGAAAACAGTGTGTTAAAACAACTTTAAGGGCCTGACTAAAATCCTCACAGAAGCCAGGAATTTCAGACTTAAGGATTCCATTCTATTCTTGAGGCACTATTGTGCCTCCTAGGGTTTGTCTACATGGGAAAATAGACTATTCCAGACTAGCAATAGCACTTTAAATTCATACGCTACCTGAATGTGTACTCAAGCCCCTATACATCGTGCAACACTCTATATCACGAAGGACCACCCTGTAACCCCCATATTCCTCATCTACATAGAATTGTGATATTGCATATAAAGCATGCCATGTGCAGTATCAGGGGAAAGGTTATGATCTGTTGAAAGTCATTGTTCTATCTAAATATGTACATCATTAGTGCATAGGAAGTTATGAGATTGTGTTGGATAATTGTCACTAAAACATGCTGTAAGTTGGGGAATCGGCCAGATATATTAGCTCCCCAGAGACAATATCAAGGAAAGTAACCAACACATGGGCAGGGTGTCAAACAACCCATCAACAATCATTGTCCAGCAAGGGAGCTACAATTCAATGACTCACTTGCACAAGGCCATACCAGGGGAATTGCTCAACCTTTCCTGGTAACTCAGCAGTGCCTTCCAAATATGCCTGGACTTGTGTTCTCCAAGCACATGGACTAAGGGTATAAAACAGAACACAGTGGCCCCATGCTTCGCCTTTTCTCCCTCCCCGACCTATGCCGCAAGCAACAAGGATGCTCAGAAGTCTGAAGTCTCCAACAGAGGAGACTGGCCCAGGTTGCAAGGGGTTGTACTATGAACTGCAATAACCAGCGGGGTGAGAAAAACTGCTTAATCTAGATGTTGCGCAGTCTAATAGGGTTGAGAGTTTAGACTGCGTGCTTATATTTTATTTTCTTTTGGTAATTAACTCTCACTTTTTGCCTATCACTTATAATCACTTAAAATATATCTTTTGTAGTCAAACTTGTTTATCTTTACCAGTGAGTTTGCCTGAAGCGTTCAGTAAATCTGCTCAGGTTTGGCAAAGGCTGGTGTACATCCACTTTCCATTAATGAAGTGGCAAACCAATTAATAGGCAGGACAGTATTGAGCAGTGCAGGACAGTATATTCCTGAGGTAGAAGGCTGGGAGCCAGGGGGATTCGGCTTGTGCCTTTCTCTGTATGATTCATGAGCGGCTCTGGGAGCATTCATAAAATCTTGCTGAGTGTGGGGCTACACATGTGGTTGTGCTGAGTGATAACAGCACCTGGAGGGGTTTGCTGCTGGTCACTAGTGAGGCATCGTGAGAGAGCGCCCAGGCTGGAGAGTTAAGGGGCAGAACGGTCCCAGGCTGCACCACAGGGATCCCGTCACACACTGCACTCTTCTGAGGGATTCTAAGAACTATGTGGGATACAGTACTATACAATGTGTCACAAATAGCAATATCCATGCAAATTGAAGTTAAAGAGAACGGCAAACTCTACTTGTCCTTGTTTTGTGAGGCTTGTTATTTTAATGTATTCTGAATATGTAAACTTCTTTAGTTTTTTAGGCTTTTTAAAAGAGGCAATGGGATCTAAATTTGCAAAATGAGATACGCCATGAATAACTACTCAGTATTTTAAGGCTCCAATCCTTGAAACACATAGGGAACTTTACCCATAGGAGTGCTCCTATTGAAATAAGTGAAATACTTACATGAGTAAAGTTAAGCACTTGTGTGATTGCAGGATCAGAACCTCAGGCACTACTATCTCATAGTCATAGGCTAATGATTTGTTTCAGTTCTCCCAGTATTAATACAGACTACTGTCATACAGAGGGGATTTTCCGTTTTGCAAAATGTATTATAGGTCAATTAGTGTATTGTATTTTAAGTAAGTTAGATACCTTCTCTTTGTCCTTATTGGCAGCCATTATCAAGATACTGTTTTCTCTGGCATTTCTTAGGGATGCTTATTTTATGTATGTATGTATGTAAGTAAAGTAAGTAAATTGGCCGCTGTAGAAGGCTGGTTGGGTGGATGCATGTTCAGTTTTTGGATTTGTGCTATGTTTAATAAAAGAGGACATTTCAAAAACAGCGGAGGTAATGGGGGAGCATGCAAATCCAGCACTCCATGAAGGCCACATTGGGAGTACGAGAACATCGAGCCACCTCCCTCATCTCCAAGACGACCTGACTTAGCAGATGAAACATGGAGAAAGTGAATTGTACAGTTGTCCACATCTCCCTTCCTTTGCAAGGGAAAATGTTATGTTTAAATATAGTATTTTTGCTGGTGCGGCTGAGAAAAATAAGCTGTACCGTCAAAAAACACTTTTGTGCTGTTACAACTGTAGCTTTTACCAGTATAAAAATGTCATAACAAAATCACACCCTTAGCCAACATTACTATATTGGCAGACATTTTTAGTATAGACCTGAGCTAAGGAAACAAGAAACTGGGAAAGAGTGTTTCTTAGAATGCCTGAAACAGATCTACTTTCTCTGTCTTTGATTTTGTGGTGCTTAAGCTGAATGTATGAAATAAGTGAAGGTTTATTTTTTCCCCTTCTACTGCCCTTGGATCACATGTCCGACAGTTTTTAAAGGGAGTTTTTTGTACTTGGGGGCTATGGGAGAGGTGGAGCAGTTGGGCCTTTTGGATATTCTCTCTAGGTTATAATAGAAGTGGCTAAGAAGCTCCAGAGCATCCACACAAATCACTGTATTGGCTTTGTTCACCAAGGACTCATCTAGTGTGTGTTTAACATCTCCCTGTTCAGCTGGTGCCGGAATAGTACACATCTGAAAGCAGGTGGATAGGAGGGGAATACGATCCTTAGACATTTCAGCTCTTCTACTTGTGTAACTCAACCTCCCATTTAACCTCCCAAAAACATTGTTATCTGTATCCTCTAGGACTTGATGTTAAAATCATCTCACGTTAGTGAGCTATTCCTCCTGAAAGTGGAACCATGGCAGAATTCCCTCTAATGATATCTCCCCTTACCCCCATCTTTGGATCAGCAAGGTCTTTGTACAATGGCTTTTATATACCCGCCTGAAAACAAATTCTGCCCTCCTCCCTCTCCCTCTTCTCAGAAAATCTATAGAAGCTACATCAGCTCTCTGTCTTTACAGAGTAAAAAGAAAAATGTACTACAATACGTCTTGCTGTAAATGTTCAAATATAAAGAATTTACCATTACTCCTGGGATCTTCATTTTATCACACATTTGTGAATAGTGTCACAAATGAACAGCTAATTTGGATTTGATTTCTGAAATTTCAAATAATTTCCTGTTGCTAAGTCTACTAAAAGCATATTTAATGGACACTAAATTAATAAGAAATTAGTTAAGAAATTGTTAGTTGTTTGCCAGCTAGTGGGGGGGGAGGGGGGAAAGACGTATTTTGTAAGCTTAAACTGAGAATCCAGCTAGGATGACCAGACATCCCAATAAAATCGGGATTGTCCCGATTTTTAGGCGTTTGTCCCACATCCTGACCGATGTTTGGTCAGGACGCCATTTGTCTCAATATTTCGCACTCCTATTTTTGTTTTGTTTTGTTCTGCTGGCGAGACTCCGCTTTTCTCCCCCACCCCCTGCCGGAGGGACTCCGGGACTCCACTTTTTTTTGTTTTGTTTGTTTTCCTCAGCCGGCGGGACCCCATTCCCCCCCACGTGTCCCGATATTTTTTTCATCCCATCTGGTCACCCTAAATCCAGCTGCCATTCACCCAAAGGCTCACTATCCAATGCAGGCCTCAGCACACTGTCCT